AGAAGTAATCGAAGAACACCGGCCATGAATCAAACTTTAGTGTCCAACAACACCAGAAATCTTTCCTGTTTTCGATTTGTTGAATGGATGGATCCGTGTCGAGATCCAATCTAGAAAGTGGATGACTCCTATACTCGTTTGTGTCCCTTAGGAAAGAAATGATTTCCAATGTGTTCCGTTCGGACATGACAAATTGTGCCACTCCGCTCAGCTCYGGTATTTTGCGAATGATTTCAATGCCATCCTTGAATGGCAGGAATCGGGCAATGTGAATCCAGAGTGGCTTGTCGTCTTCCGGCCAAGGAGAGCCATCCGTCACTTGGTTTTGTTTGCGTTCGTCCACCTCTTCCTCTGTACCCCCAGTTTTGCACTCAATGTTGGATTGCATCTTTTCTCCGGGCTAATACTATTAGTTTGTATAGTTGTTGGTTGAAGGTATTGTTGTGTTTGTTGCGGGCAAATGGGATGATTAATGAGTTCACTTACAGACACGAATACTAGATGGATGCGAACGTTTACAACTGAAAACCTGAGGTGATTGGAAAATGGTGATGATTGTTCTCCGCACTTCACGGGATTGACCCGATTGAAAGAGTTCGTACTTCTAGTACTAAACGATATTTGAGATTTAACGTACGTTACGTTTTACGTAGATTAACAACGCAAGGGATGCGATAGTAGCTTGGTCGAGCGAGTACGAGTAGTACCCTACGTACGGTAGTATGATACAGTACGTAAGAGTAGTACTAGTAAGAACATCTACGTGATAATTCATGACACGGATCCATTTGTTTGATTCGATTGACTCTAATTCGAAAACCTTGCYATCAAAAAAATAAATACAGTACTGAAGTACGATAGTACCGGTACGATAGCACGAAGTACAAGTATTACTGTACTTTGTACGATAATTTGTGCGCTTTGTCGGTCGGCACGATACGCCATGTTCTCGTACGACTAAAAAACGATACACGTACTCTTCGATTATTTTTCTTTGATCATGACAGAACAAARGAGAACCGAGCAAACAGAACTGCTTCGACCTATTACTGTAAAATCAACCACCAAAAAACAACCGAGAAAGGAAGCAATCTTCGAGAGAATAATTGCATATCCTGATGGAAGAAGTGCAACAGCTGGCAGAGCTAGAAGAAACRAAAGAATCACGGAAAATTGTGTCACGCTTTTGGAACAATGGGAACAGTGACGACGACGGCGGCGGCGGCGGCGGTGAAAGCGATGGCAATGAAAGTACCACTGCCTGTGATGGGAGCAGTGAAGATTTTTCTTTTGGAGAAGAAGACATAAATAAGAGCTTTCATCGTGTTGAACAAAATCAGGATGGAAGTGAAGACTCTGGCGGAGACGAAGAAATGAGGCGTAGTCAAGATCCCGATTACGCCTGGGAACAAATCAGGRACGAGCAGATCTTTCTCGAGCCACCCACCAAATGGATACCATCGCAGAATGCATCTACTAGCACCAGTGATATCAGAGTCAGACAAGCTATCGTGGAAGACTTGAARCAGAAGGARCAAGATTCGTTTGTTCGCTTTGTCTTTGTCAGCGACACGCACGCAAACCACCGGGATCTAGCCCATCTTCCGAGGGGAGATGTACTGGTGCACGCAGGGGACTTTTCCAAGACGGGAGAGACGGGATCGATTGAAGACCTCGCACTCTRCTTTCAYGAAAACAAACAACAAAACGAGAACCACCAAACGTCTATGATTCAGGAAATTATTTGCGTTGCCGGAAACCATGATCTGACCCTGGACCAGGACTATTACCACCGGAACTGGTCAAAATTCCATCGGAAAGCCTTTGACACGACCGTCGCCGAGAAAGCCATTCGGAGGCATTCGATCTATCTTCGGGATGAGGGCTGYGACGTGGTCGTGAAGCAGAAGGAGGAAGAGGATGGAACGGCCCCCATCCATATATGGGGCTCTCCGTACTCTCCAGAATTCTTCGATTGGGCCTTCAACAAAGATCGCGGACCGTCCATCCGGAAAATATGGGACCAGATTCCATCCCCGCATCATCCATCCACTTCGACTGTTACCCCCTGCACGGTTAGTTTTGACGACAACGGCGGCATCGGTGGCGAACACGATAGCGCAGTGGGCCATGAGAGCGAACCCGCAAGCAGTTCAGATTCTATGCAACAGCAAAGACAGCACCAAGCACAACCAATATCAAAACAGGTCGATGTGCTGATTACGCATGGTCCACCGCTCGGAAGGGGCGACCTCGTGTTTTTGGACGAAACAGAATCCAAGACAAMGAGAGCCGGCTGTTACGATCTGCTCAGGGTCGTCCAGGGCCGAGTCAAGCCCAGGGTCCACGTCTTTGGGCACATCCACGAGGGGTACGGAGTAACGTTTGATGGAACGACAATGTACATCAACGCAAGCAGCACTTCTCAAGACTATGAGGTCATCAACCCACCGATTGTGGTCGATGTGCGAGTACCTGACGCCATTACAAAAGGCAAGAGTATGAATTATGAACGCAATAGTAAATGTGCTTCTATTTCTCAAAGCAACAACAAGCCACCGAGCGCTTGGGTGGTTCGGCCCAAATCGCTTTTTCGCAACGGAAAGACGAATATTTGCTCTGTTGAGCAACTTATCGACTGGTGCCTTTGCAACCAGCACGAATTCATTGCCAATGAACTCCGAAGTAAGTTTGTCACCGTGAAGATCGATAATAGTACGAACGAAGAAATGAGCAGCAGCAGCAGCAGCAGCATTTGCAGGAGCAATACATGCAACTACGATGATACCCTCCAGTCAAGACGAAAGCGATTGGACTGCTTGATTGCTAGTAATGGACGAGGCAGCAATGCAGGACATGAAGATGCTATCAGCATAACAGCCGAACAAGTGTTCGAGTTATTGGCYGGTGTCTTGGGATATCACTTTGGTTTCCGGGGCATACGAGATGCACGCCGAAAGCTGGCAARAATGGTACTTCACTTGTATGCAGAATCCTTTGAGAGCGAAAGGTGAACGCAAACGTACATGATATATTTTAGACAGGAGTCAATCCCCATTCAAAAGTAACTTGATTCTTGCKAGGGTTAATCACGAGTRGCTAACGAGTTGAAGCACGAGTGAACCTCTATCTCTCTTTACAACGCATAACATAACACTTGAGTGTTCTGTCCTGATACAAGTTGTAACAGAAGTCGTTTACGAATCAAAGTACATTGTAATAAGTCCAGTACTAGGTAACTCAGAGTAAAATAACAGCTAAAATCWAAAYGCAAGAACTTTTGGCGAACCATTAGWGTTACTTCGGCAGACTAGTTCTAMGCTGCTAGAGCATCCTATGGCTTCCCAATGACACCCTAGTAGTACTTGTACTGATAGTACTAATGATGCCATTCATGGGAAGAAGAAGGGAACACATGCCACTTACCATAAGGGAGACGACAGATGCTGCTGGTAGTGRTTGAGATATTTGACTGCCTGTCTGAGGAAGGAGGACGAGGTGAAGCAGAAAACTATTTCAGAAACACCAGCAGCCAGCAACCAGCATGTCACGCGACTAGTAGGCTAGTAGTACTACTAGAATTGCTGAGGACATTTCGAACATGTTCCTTACATCACAAGGTCAGTCTTAGAAGAAAGATGCAGTAACAGGCAAGTGGAAAATGTGTTGACAGCGAAGACAAGCCAACGAATTAAGAGACCTGAAAAGAGGAATGCTCMAAAATCAGCTCTTAGACGGAAGATTCGAATCAGTCTTGGAACGAATAAAAATATTATTGACCGTTTGACGTTGGTGTGATGCTTGCGCGCACCTATTTGCACCGTCTCGCCTCCGCTCCACGATAGACAMAGTACGAGTACCGTACGGTACGTAGTACGGAAGCCGTCGTAACCGGTCCTTTATTATTATCATGGTACCGTACCAGGTACTAGTACCGTACAGAGGGGTCCTCCCACCGAGGCGAGAGTGTCCTGACGAAGTTTTTCTCTTCACCTGGATGCATTTCTGGGCTGCATCCAGATCCGAAGCGGATGCGAACGCAATACAATAAATCGGAAAACACCACTGAGATTGCTATCGGTAGCTGACAGCAATGGATTCTTCAACAACTGTGACTGCCGATACTAGAAGTGAGGCTATTTCGAACAGGATATCCTTCAAACAAGTTGTTGTCATTTTTGTTGGAATACTCTTTCTTGCCAAGCAATTCRAGTCGTCTCTCAAATTCGAAACAGGAGAAACTCTATGGTGGCAGAACACAGCTGAGAAACATTCRCATWACATTACGCAGCAAGAAATCATAGCACCTCTGGATGAAATCAACTCGACACCCCGGAACACGACGAGAATCGAAAATGATAAAGATAAACTASAGCGGTTGCCACCCCGTGACGACAAAGAAGGAAGGGRAGGAATCATCCGGGAGGGAAAAGTAACAGTTCGAAGCAAAAGAAACAGCAGGAARAACAGCAAGAARAATGCGAAACAMGACACATGGAGAAAAGGAGACGAAGACCCCGACTTGATAATACCCTTACACATTGATACCGAAAAGTTGGAAAAGAATCAATTTGGAAATGATTACGACGTTGCCAAGGCCGAAGCCAACGACCCCCTTCTAGATATTCTTCCTTCTACGTATCGCAAGTCCGAAACYCTGCCCACRTGGATGAAGGAATACTTTGATTGGCATCGTATTCAAACYGCTTCCATGAACGAAACGAATTGGATGRGCAGTGATGACTACTACAATAGGACAAAGGATGAAGGCATGGTAAACGAAGAGGAATACATCGCTRACAATCGAAAATATCTAATTGTGCACTGTCTTACCAAGGAGAAATGCGGTGGATTGAGCGATCGCCTGAAGCCTTTGTTAATGAGCGTCGCCACAGCTGCCCACCAACCCACCGGTCTCAACGGAAAAGAACACAGACGGATACTTCTTATACGGTGGCAGCGTCCTTACCGCTTGGAGGAATTTTTGGTCCCAAACGAGGTCAACTGGACGGTCCCCTCTTACATGGAAAAAGCTTTATCMAGAAAGGAGGAAAATAGGTCCCCTGAACAGCGCTTCGAAGGGTCTTCCATAAAACGAGTTTCCGTGAGAAAGAAGATTGAGCTATTCTCTGAAGAGCACGAAGACACTACCGTGATGAACATAAAATTACAGGAGCAAGACGGTGGAAGAGGATTTTACCAGTATATTGTGGATGTCGCCTATGGTAGCAATGAAACAGCGACCGATCCTTTACACRTCAAACTTGAGCGATACCAGGGTGTGAAAAAGASAGACAAATCCCAGAGGGAAGAAAGGGCTTTCCAAAGCTGGAACAAAATATACCATAGTTTCTTTCGGACAATATTCAAGCCCTCCGAGCCGGTCCGAGCATTGATCGACGACAAACTCCGTGTACTGAACCTGACGCCGGGTGAATTTTTGGGTGTCCACTACCGAGCGGATTACGGCATGGGCGAGGCCGAGCGATCCGGCCCCGAACTGATCGGTAACACCGCATCGACMATTGTCGGCARGTGTGCGTCTCTCTTGACCGATGGATCTCCGATCTATTTTGCGTCGGACACGACCAGTGCCATCGAGAGGGTGCAAGAGGAAAGTACGRWCCTATCCACTAAGAATATCACTGTTACGACACCACTCGCGGCTGATCTGGCTATGAACAAATCCCTTGCTGAAAATCCAAAGAATCCACTTCACATTGAATGGGATATGGGGCCCGTAGAAGATTTCTATCCGACTTTTGTTGATCTCTTGGTCATGGGTTCGTCCAAGTGTATGATCTATGGCCAGGGTGGTTTTGGATCTTTTGCCTCGTTGCTAAGCTACAACGCCTCGTGCTGGTACAATTTTGCCACAAAATGCGACCTGCCCATCGAGAGGCAAAAATTTGTATCGCCCGTGGCATCTATGCTTCCATCAGAATGCTGYATTCCCCATAAAATAGACAGAAAGCAATCAAAAATAGCTAGGAAAGAACGATTGCAAGAGGAAAAAATCAAAAAAGCCCAACTTGCAGAAGGAAGTGCAAACGATGGTAGTGGTTCAGATGATGGAACCGATGACGGAACCGATGACGGAACCGATGACGGAACCGATGACGGAACTGATGACGGAACTGATGATGACAGAACTGATGATGACAGAACTGATGATGACAGAACTGATGATGACAGAACTGATGATGACAGAACTGATGATGGAACTGATGACGGAACTGATGATGGAGACGATGAAAATAAGGATGGAAACGATGATGGGACTGACGATGGAAACGATAATGGAACGGTTACTGAGACAGACTAACCACGTATGCCCTGCCTACATCCTATGACTTTAAAGAGCAGCGCCGACAGCATTTGCCATTGCTATTCTTAGACTAGGTCTATGGCAGTACGGGGACTCATTTCTTACCTGCTCAACCGATCTAAATCTATGCCAATGGACGGAATGGGTGTACTTTCTTCGAATTAGACGGTGACTCATTTCTTACCTGCTCAACCGATCTAAATCTATGCCAATGGACGGAATGGGTGTACTTTCTTCGAATTAGACGGTGAGATTACAGATATTTTACTCTGTGCCAAATCGAATGAAAATGGCGATTGTCGACTCATTGAAATGTCGTCGGTTACCACACTGGAAAGACAACGCTAAGAGATATCTCTAAACTYGGATCGCTCTTAGCCTCGTGCACTTTTTGATAAAAGACAGGGGAAAAATGAATTATGAGTCTAATCGTCAATTACGATCACAATGTTGGAGATGACGTATCATGAGCTATTCATTCCTTCAAACTTCGCTGCTATTTCGTTCAGTTCTAGGATACAGCAACAGATAAAACAATACCTAAATGAAGAAAATTAGAATACAGCAACACAGTTTGAATAGTTTGATTGCAATTGTTTTATTCCGCCATCCTTTTTCGGTAAACTGTTTCCTATCATGTTGTGATCTCATCGAAGATAGGATCCAGAAAAATACAGCAAGTGATGAACAAATCAATATGAACAGACTACGAGTACTCTTTTGAATTTGAATCGTGTTAACAAGGAGCAGGTACAATAAGGCAACCTAGAATGTCGTGCTCAACTCAAGAACCTGTTTTACCTTCACACCATCTGCCGTATGGCAAGATAAGATGAAGACTGCTCGACGTGAAACTACTTCATTCGAWGGTTTTTCATTTTAAACGTAGGTTTACCCGYAATCTCTACTGCTTTATTGTTACTTTATGATTGTTTTCTATCGCATAAAATTGTTCTTTCTCTATGCATAGAACACTTTTGATCGCCAAAATGTGCATGAGGTATTATTGCTGCGAAGAAATAGAGTTATAATATTGTGTGACATCAGTTTGTACGCATGAGTGTTAGCACTATTCCAATGTTCTTGCTGTTGTAGATTTCCATCATTTGCTTTCGACCAAGGGCGTCAAAAGAGACAAAAAAACAGATCGACCACGATTTCGTCTCACTTGCAGACAAGAAGAAAAAAGAGCAAATACACCACAAAGTACACAGAGATCAMGCCGCATGATTCAATCCCATCACACGGCGAAGAATCTTTGGCGACTCCACATTTATTCTCTTAGATGTTTTCCTTGTCCAAGTCGTCAAAGTACGGATGGTTCAAAGATTCCTTGGCGGTAATTCGATCCTTTGGATCGTAGAACAGGAATCGCTCTAACAAGTCCATTCCTGCGTTATCGAGATGTTTGGTGACGGCGCTGGAATATGGTCTCTTTTGCCACCTGGGAAACGCAGCGTTCCAATCTTGCAAATGCGTGACGCCTGGCCATACATCTTCGTCGGGTGTTCCTAGCAACCGGAAGATCTTGTAGATCTGGTCGATTTCMGAGTCTCCCGGGAAGAGAGGTCGTTTCGTGACCATTTCAACAAAGATTGTTCCAATAGCCCAGACATCAACTGGGGGAGCATATGTCTGGCTTCCTAAAAGAATCTCAGGGGGTCGGTACCACAGGGTCACGACCTCGTGCGTTAGGGGTCGGATGGGTGGACAAAAAGCACGTGCAAGCCCAAAGTCAGCAAGCTTAAGGCGKCCGTCTCGCGTCACAAGAAGATTCTGTGGCTTGAGATCCCTGTGCATAACTCCTCGAGCGTGGCAAAAAGCAAGTCCCCGGACGCATTGGAAGAGATAGGACTTGACCAATAGAGGGGAGAGCAATCCACTRCATGATTCCATGTACTTCTTCAAGTCCTTGTCAAGGAATTCGAAGACTAAATAGAGCTTTCCGAGTTCTTGGACGCAGTCTTTAAGCTCTACAACGTTCTCATGCGTCAATTCCCGAAGCAAACTGATTTCGCGGAGAGCTGTGGACGGAATCCCTTCGTCTTCGACCTCCAATCGGATGCGTTTCAAGGCAACAATTTCGTCCGTTTGCTTGTCGCGAGCCTTGTAAACAACCCCATAAGTTCCCTCTCCCAATGCCGAGTCCGGCTTTTCGATCTTTTGATAACTATGCAAGTAGATTGATTATTTTTGGATGCAATATTTCCCGGGCGTGATGCGACAGCGATGCAAGAGTACAGCATAAGTTCGAGCAACCCAGTACGTCATTGTTATGCCATCAAAGCCAAGATCRATTAATTGCAGAGTGAGAGTGAGAGAAGTTACGAAAGAGATGGTTAGGATTAAAATGAGTACATACGTAACGCTTGGGTCCCAATACATTGCCACAACCGGCCCAGTTGCTTCCGCAGTGAAGCTCTTATATGGAGAACCATTCTCCAATGCGATCGGTCCATCCATTAGAAAGCAASCGATGCAGTCATTCKYATTTTTCTCTGGTTTTCGTSGACCTATACCATGGACGTACCGATCCATCACTCTATTTTAATATMCCGTTGATCTTATCTTCGTAGTGCTGATTCGGAAGTGAATCCTAGGAATGACGACAAAGAATCGAATTTGTTTAGTCGGATAAGCGTATCGGTACTTCTTTTGGCTGTTGGTGGTACACCTTCAGTACGAGGATTATTGTTTTTGAACCTGTTCGGACTAAGAGCACGGGGTACGGTACAGTACCCTATTACGGTACACAATGCCCGTAACGACGACCACTTACCACGCAATGCCTCCTCCTCTTCAGACCAACGTGATGAAATTTACTGTAAAGGAAACAATTCGATTGGTTGATCCATTAGAAGCAATGCGGCATGCTATCACCTCGCACGCCAACCGAGCCATTCAGTTTSAAAATACGATACAACCTSAATGGAAGACCAACATACGAATGAAGACGCCGGGGGGGAAATAACCGTCACTTTTTGAAAAATCAGAAAACCCGTCTTGGGTACTTGTACGTACGATACCGTATCRCGACCATGACTTCACGACACGTTCAACTTCTAAATCTGGGAAATACAAGTAGAACGATAGGACAGACTGTCAGACACCAAATTTACTTAGGAAGTACAGTACTACTAGTACTTCCTGTCCAGCAATGACCTTACTATGTCTATTTTTACTGTCTCTCAACATGAGGATCCACCACTGTACTTCAAGTTTTTGGCAGTTGGACTTCACAATAACTATGTAGAAGAATTTGTACTACATGTGTACTATTATGTCCAACGTACTAGTATCTAGTAGTAGTACTACTACTTCTAGTAGTACTACTAGTACTACTACTAGTAGTACTACTAGCACTGCCAGCAGCAGCAGCACAGCAGGCAGAGAGAAAAATGTACTGATTGCTGCATGCATTCTTGTTGTTCTTGTACTAGTAGTAGTACTAGTACTAGTACTAGTAGTACTAGTACTAGTAGTAGTACTAGTACTAGTACTAGTAGTAGTAGTACTAGTAGTACTAGTAGTAGTAGTAGTACTAGTAGTAGTAGTACTAGTACTAGTAGTAGTAGTAGTAGTACTAGTACTAGTAGTAGTACTAGTACTAGTAGTACTAGTAGTAGTAGTAGTTGTTGTTTGTGACATAATACTACTAGTAGTAGTACTAGTAGTAGCAGTAGCAGTACTAGCACTGCAAATTGGTGGAAACATTGCAACAAAAAGAAAAAATTGAATGGCAACAACAAGAAGAAGTATGACAAGTGAGTTACTACTACTACTATACAACAACAACAACAAGATGACTGATACATGAGAGAAGTTAAATAATGACTACTAGTACTACTGCACAGTAGTAGTAGTAGTTCTTGTAGTAGCAGCAGCAGTACTACCAGAAGGACAACTTCTTCTTCTTCTTCCAATCACCAAGTCACAGTACTACTAGTACTAGTACCAAAAAGGTGCAGTTTTCCCTCCACCATCCCACTATATTACTACTAGTAGTACTACTACTACTACTAGCACTACTAGCACTACTAGCACTAGTAGAACTGCTAATAGGAGATGTGCTCCTTCTTGAATTGGACTTTTGTTTTCCCAATCATAACAACAAAAGGCAGAGAGCTCAAGGTGGAGGTGGTGACTGTGTAAAAGTAGTACTGCTCGTAGTCGTAGTAGTACTACGTCACACAAACCTGCACTATGGTTTTTTTTCCTGGGTACATGAAATAAAATTCGCGCGTGTATTTTGTGATGCCCGCACGCAATTATCTGGCCGTTTTCCTTGGAACATGTTCTCGAACCACTCATTTCTCATGTGGAGTTCGATGCCCTTTCTCATGCTCAAAATTAATTCTTTTTCATAGAAAATATTATCRTATTYGGAGACGAATTGCTCATCCATTTCAAAAGTATCTCAACCATTCAAATAATACTATGTGTCGTCACGAAAATATTCTTGCCACTTCATCAATTCCTCAGGTCAGTTTCAAACTCCTACTTCCTTATGCTGACTCTTCAGCGCCCATCGACAATTTTTATATTCTTGTCGTCAAATTTTATTGCACAATGATTCTATTTTACTATGTAACCGCTGGGGATTAAATTCTATATGTTTTGTGCCGCTACTATCGTTATTTTTGTATCCACTACGTTTTGTTATGCTTAATAATGTCGTGGTTTTTATACAGCCCGTATCTTTGACTTCAGCTCATTCAAGTCATCATTGTCCTCCCAGTATTTTTTCTGATCAAAATTTTTCTCCATTTCGCGCAACTTTCTTTTTTTATTAA